TCGGGCCGAAACACAATTTCTTCGTTTGCTGGGCAACTTTTTAATATCACCTCAATCACGATGATGACTTTTCTTGGTATGATGTTGCTCACTAGGCACAGACCCACGACCAAAAGTCCTGTGTGGGCAACAAGTTCTTTCCCCTTTGCGAGCAGGACTCTCGAGTCCTGGCACACATGCACCGAATGAGCAATAAGCGGCATATTGCCTTTTGCTCTGCGTTTAAGTGCGATTCCATTTCTGGCCTTAAATGCTGCAATAAACCCGAATCGCTTTCACTGGCTGTGGGTGAACTGGCTGTGACTAATGTCAGCTCCTGACATTCATGGCAATAAAATTACCTTCCTTACAGCTTGTCAGCCTCTCACTCTCGATCCACTCGGTAGATTTGTGCGGTTTGCTTTCGTCTTTATGATTTAATTGTCAATAAAATAATCATTTGCAAGCCTTTTGCCACTGCAACCGCAGTACGTGCCAAACAGAGTTGAAGCAAATTTTTACCAATAAACGAGTGTGGCAAGAGGGCAAAGGCGAATCAAAGCCGCAGGCCGCAACATGCTACACTGAGAGAATATTTTGGTGCAAATGTTGTAGTCGGTATCATTTAAACTCAATCAATTTTGGTTTCTTGAATTTCAAATTAAACCGAGTTCGAGTAATTACGTTCTTAAATTAACAACATTACGTTTTATTCAAGAAGAATTGATATAATTCCAACTCCAGCAATTTAAATGTGTTTAATTATATTTTTTTCACATACACAAAACGTTCTAAAAGGAACTAAATTTGAAACAATGTTAAGCTTACACCCGGGCAACCTCAAACCTTCTATAAAATACTTCCAAAAATGGCTTTGTCCGTCGCAGGACATCCGGTGCTTAACTCATTATTTATTTATTATTTCGAGAACAAAAGCTGGTTTTGGAAATATTTCTTTGTGTGTAGAGCAAAGCCGAAATAAACCGACTAAAACTGTGGGGGTTGCCACAGGAACTGAGAGTCCTGACTGGCACTTAAGTTATTGACGAGATAAAGTTGAGGATTTTGTGTGCATTTTTGTGAAGTGCCAGCCGAAGCCCATAATGACGGAGCTCTAGCTGGATAGCGAATGGAAGCAGTTGAATATGGAGCTGTTAGCTGATGTTGGAGCGGAGCTGGTTGCGATGATGCCGTTGACGTTGATGTTGTCGACAGTTTTGATGCCTGGCTCCCGGCAGCCTCACGTAGAGAGATGAAGCAATATGTGCCCGGGCTAAGGGCTTTGAGTGTCTCGTCCTTTGCCCTGCGTGTGTGCTTGTGTGTGATTGTGTGATGGCAGGTCTGGCCTGTTTGCTCAAATGCTGCTCCTTTGCTCATGACACCAGAAGCAGGACAACAGCCAAATCAAACAAACCAACAAAAAGAGGCGAAGGAAACCAATAAAAAGCCAAGCAAAACGCAGGCGGAAAAGAAAACATTGTGGCCAAGCAGCAAAGTTAACGGCCTTTACCATACACCACAAAAAAGTAGAAGAGTGTCTGCAAATAATTCTACAACAATCGAAATATTAATAATTGTTAATCATAGTTCCATGATTATCCATCATTTTGTATATCTTATAAAAAAAAATATGAAAATAACAATTTTGTAAGAGAAGTTTCAAAATAATCATTTTGTGTAAAAGTTTCAAGCATATTTATAATTGTTGAAACTATGTAGCTTGCAATACTTTTTGAATATTCATTTTAAAAATTAAAATTTATATAAGGAAACATCATGTTCAACTCATAAATTAAATTTTTTTTTAAATTGACTGAAATTTAAAGCTAAAACTTTGACCAGGTTTAGATTTTGAAAAATTTTCACATAGAAAAGCTTAGAAGCTTTTTAGGCTGATGGAATAGCCCATTAATATGATTGATTTATTTTTCTGTGTACATGTAGGCATCGCCTCATCGATTTTCACTTGAGCCTTGAACGCGACGAGGAATTCTCTGGAGTCGCACAAACAAATGCGCGTAAATTTTGCTTAGCGCGCAATTCAAGTGCAAATACTTGACACCGCCGCACCTAAACTGGAGAAAAGTGGAGAAAAGTGGGAAAAGTAGAGGGTTAGGAGGTGGAAAATGGGAAGAGTGATGGATGAACGCCCGCCCACTCAGTCCTGCAATGCCATCAACTTGTAGGCCTCAAGAGTCTCTCGATAAGTTCTTGTCCCCGTCACACGTCACACGTCAATATCCTTTTTGTGGTTTGGCTTCTTTTTTTTTGTTTATTTTGCTTTTTGCTTACCCCTAAACATTGGCAACTTTTCCGGTTCAGCTGCCGCTGGCATTGCCCATATTATCGTCTGTTTTAACAAAGTTTTGCTCTGCCCGATGTCTGATTTATTTGCATTTGGTTTGTGGTCCATGCAGTTAATAAATTTCACTTACCCACTTGCATGTGTATGTGCAAAGTGTTATCTAAAAAGGCGGGGGGAAGAAAACAACTTTTCCGAAATGCGAGTATCCAAAGTTTTGGGTTAAAGTTTTGCTGCGGCAACTTACCTATGTCAAATTGATTAGTTGAGTCGGACAGCTGAATCCAAATCTGTTATTCCCCCCAGGCGAATGGGGGATGCAGATAATTTGATTGTGTGATTTATGTCACAATATATATTCAACATTAATGAAGATGAAGGAGATTTGCGGTTGGCAAATGCGAACTCTATCAGGGCATTCGGCAAGCGTTTTGCACTTCATTAATTGTTCAAAAATGTGGGATAAAAACATGGAAGCCGGCGCATTGAGACTGGGGGGAATGCAATACAGTCGACGTCGACTGCAGTCTGACAACCGCAAATGCAAATATTTGAAAACGGAGCTGGGTTGTCTGTTAACTGGACTACAAGCCAAAACTAATTGTTACCGACACTCGCAGTTTCGAAGAGTGCCAGACAAACGTCCTGAAGCAATTGAAAAACACCAGGAAATCGACGCGAGCTTGACGGTTGTCCCTAAAAAGCGGGAGCGGCAAATGCGGACAAAGTAAAGTTATTTGCGGTTCATTATTCACTTTTGGATTTTATAGTATTTCCTCTGCGGTGCTCGTCCGGGCACGATCGAAGACAGTGATGGACAGCAGATTGAAGTCCGTTCGGAACACGTTGCCCTTCTGTGCCAAAGTTGCATGCAAAATGACCCGACAATGGAGCCCTATCCTCCTGACCAGCGAACTCGGATTTTGGTTTGCACTCGAGTCGAGCAACACGACGACGTTTAAATTGGGAATTTTTGCTTGGCTGCATCCAAAGCAGCAATCGAGGAGCATTTTTGCTCTTTGCTTATTCATCTAGCAAGTTGAAAAATAAATTAATAATGCGTTCTTGCCACTGACGGCAGCTGCAACCGCACAAGGAGCATGGCCGGGGGGAAAATCGGTGGAACGGTGTGGGGAAAACGGAACTGAGACACTGTCAGGGACTTGGAAAATTCGTGCTGAGCTTTTTGCGCGCGCTCGCTCTATAATGCACTTTATATCTGTCTCGACACCGGAATCCCGCATTCGTCTCCACGTTCACGTCCATCTACATCTTCTAGTTTTTTTCCTTTTTTTTCTTGTTCTCCCGACACCCCTGGTCCTAAAATTTAATTGCATCTTTTTCAACAATTCTAGCACGAAATGAAAATTCATGCAAACGTTGGCAGATAAAAACGGAATCCCAAAACCAGTCCCTGTCCCTCCGCAATAGGGATGAGGGGAGTGAATGGCCAGAGGAATTTAAGCTTTCAGTTTAGTTCAGTCAAGATATGAATACTAATAGCCACTGGAATGTTTGAGTAGCCAGAGGACATTGCACCGCCACATCCCCAGTTCGTTAAATGAAGAACCGAGCGCGACCATCTCCATCTTCGTCTCCATCGCCAGATCCCAAGATCCCAAGACACTGGGCTCGAGCTAGGGCCTCCTTTCGCTGGCAATGGCATTACTCTTATTTGATTCCGTGGGCATTCGCATAAATGTCAGATTGAGTTTATGCACAGGCAAAAGTTGAGTCCTTGAAATGCACCCACTGTCGGGCATTTAAATGCAAAGGCCTCGTCCCGAGACAAAAACGAGGCGAAGAAAAGCAATTAGCGAAATTAATTGCTCAAGTTTCGCTTTGAAATATTCATCCGTGAGATTAATTCGCCGGCCGACAAAGCTGGACGTCATCGAGCGTTGCCCGCTCCGCCTCCGCAATTTGTGGCTTTGTCAATTGAATGGCTTTGCGGCCGGGCCCGCTGATTGACTGCTTGCTCTTGCAATTGCTCTTGTACGCGATTAAATTTGCAATTGCCAAGGGCCCGCCAAACTGGGATCAGTGGTGCCAGTCATGGACTGGCAAAGCTTGAAAAATCCCACATTAAAATTATTTTATTTTTATAACCAATCAGATTGGTCCCCAATCAGATACCTTTTATATTCATGAAATCCATTTTTGCATGAATTATCTGGCTTTAAATGTAAACATTTCAAATTACGTAAAAAATTTAAAAGTTTTGACTTACGGTTTGTCTTTAAAAATCGTGTTATCACGCCACTAAATTACAAATTAGCAAGGTAAAAGCAAAAGCATTTTGCATGTTGGTCTACTATTTATTTAAAGTAAGTTAAAAATAATGAAATATTTATGCTAGTATATATATTATATTTAATGTACTTCTAACACTGTAATGGCTCAACGGATCTTTAGTTTAATTAAGCTTCGCTTGCAATCAAAATAGTTGTTAACAATGCACACTTATTTAATAACAGGGTCAGTGAACGGAATATAAACAAAGCTTACGGTTCGTATTTACTTAGACAATGCAGTAATATAATGCCGAACTTAAGTCTAATATTTATTTTTCGGCTGACAAAAAGGTTAAATTCGTTGTCGAATATAATGAATTTTGAAAAATGTATTTATTTTTTGTCCACAAATTCGATATCGAAAGTTGTTTGTGTTGAGAGGTGTTTTTTGCAACAAAGTTAAGAGTGTCTTGGACTAAACTTACCACTGTCGAACTGCAGTGAGACTACTGTGATGGCCAGGAACAGAATGTGGGGCAGGATCATCACCTGGCGCTGATTGTGGATATGTCCTCGCTGGCTAATTGTCCTCGCCTCGGCGGCCATTTTGCCGGAGTTGCTGTTGTTGCTGCAGTTGTTGTTGTGACTGGGACACTCGAATTTGTAAACAGTTCTGCTTCTGCTGCTCGCCGGCTTAGTCAGGGGCATTGAATTAATTATTCCATTGCTGCACACGAATTTGCAGGCCGCAGATTGTGTTGCGAGCAATGGTAGACCCGGGTTCTTTCTGTTTTGCAACAACTTCCACTGCCACTTGCCACTTGCACTGCCACTTCCAGTTCCACTTCCACTTCACCTTTGTCGACGTCTTCGACTGCAGCACTTACGGAATTTTAATTATTCAAAATAGGTTTTTAGCACAGCAGGCGGCGGCGGCAGGATACTACAGGTTCGGTTCGTGGTTGCGGGGCTGCACTGCTTTAATTGCTTGTTTTGCTGCAATGCATTTTCCTGGGGCGTTGTAAATTTATAGCTGCAAAATAGAAGGAAAACGATATGCGTTAGTTTTCTGCATGACCACAGAGAGTCCTTTTTGTATGTATTTGTGTGTGTGTTGTAAGTAAGGGTGTGTATGTGTCTCCATATCTATGTGCTGGTGTCCTGTGTAATGCAGCTAAGCCGCCGTGCCCAAATACATAATTCCTATGCAAATAAGCGTGGCCCAGCACTGAAATTTATGTGCGCACAGCGTTTTGCATAGATATGCACACAGAATAGAGGCGACCAAGAGTGAGATACCCTTGTACACTTAAAGAAAAAACAACATTATCAAGTTTAAACTTCATAATACTTCAAACCAATCTGTTTGAAACTCCAAATAGATTATAATTATAATGCCCAAAAATCGATAGGTATTATTCTTGAAATAGATAAGTATTTTTTTATAGGCCCAGAAACCAGAATATTAAGAAGCATTTCGCTTTGAACTCTAAAATTTTCCAATAAAAATGTGACAAGTTCATAAATCACCAGCTAGATGATTTGAAATCATTTTTCATATGTAAATATACCGTTTTTCATATTCTAAATGACTAGTTTTGGTCAAACAAAACTTGTCTTTTTTTTAACTGTGCACATACGAATATCCGTATAAATTCGAGTCTTCTTTGACTTTTTTCCGCAGGCAAATAAAACTCAAGCAAAGCGTAAAAAAATATAAACGATGGCAGAGGCCGGCAGGCAAAAAGCAAAATGCCAACGCAGTACAAGCTGCCAAATTAACAGAAATTTGGATCGTAGCCCGAACTTTTAGACTCCCCAGGATAGTGCACAGGACTCGAACCCTCACCATCCTCAACCCCCACCCAATTCCCCTCCATTTGCAGTGACAGCAAGCCAACTGAAATAATCCCGCAAAATATTGTGTGCGCATTTTGGATTTGTTGTCTTTGATTTGGCGCGGTTTTCCACTATTCGTGTGTTTATTTCACATGGCTTTTTATTCGGCGTTTTTTTATTACAATTTCTTCACTTAACATTTTTTGGCAGTAGCGCATGCTGTTGGAACCCGCAGAATGGAGCACAATGAGGCCGAATGCCGGCGCTGCCAATATGGGGCCCATAAACAATTCTATTAAAATAAATGAAGCATATTTATAAGAACCACGACAAGCACAAAGTGAAAGCAAAATCAACCTAAATGCTTTATAAATCGACTCGAATTTGTTTTCGTTTCAGCCTAAGACCTGATAAAGTAAGAACGAGAGTAGCAACAAATTTTGATGAAAGGCAGAAACACACAAAAAATATTGATAGAGACGGGCCAGCAGAAAGATGATTGATTTTATGTGTTTGGGGTGAAACAAAAAAGTCTTGGGCAGGGAAAATTATGATGACGAGCAAAGCAATGAGTGACCGCTCGACCAAGAGGATAGAACAGGAAATACGCAAAAATACAAAAGGATATTACGAACCCAAAGCAATACGAATATTCGGCTTTTATGGGCAGGACACGAGGATGAGAGTTCGAGTATCCAAGATGTGAAAACCGAGAAACCAGACCGCAAAGGCAACAGCCAAAAACCACACTCACACAAAAATGCCAAAACGTAAAAGAGTGAGGGTGCGTATGGGAAAATTTGTGTATTTGCCATAAAATAATTTATCAATTGGAAAATTTCTAGACACACTGAGGAGGGGAAATGATGTCCTGAAAGGAGTGAAGCAACTCATGGGCGGAACTCGAGAATGCGAAGGAAGAATGCCCAAGTATTTTGCTATCGCCACCCTTCATCTCGTCCTTCGAGTGTGTGTGTGTGTGTATTTGAGGGTAAAATTATGACAGGAGGAAATAAAAAAGCATAAATTTATTACCGGGCCGAGGACGATGACTACTAAAACTTGGCCACAGGCCCGTTGGGAGCACTCTCTCGTAAGTAAAGATCATAAATAATCGAAAGGGCGACAATATTGGCGCAGGACAATGACAATGAGGGGGTCGTTTTTTGGAGCATATAAATATCATTCGATTCCTTTCGATTCGATTCGACTCATTGGTCGAATTAAAGAGGTTTCTAAGTGAAGGACAGGGAACGGAGGCGAAATAATTGTACAACAATTTGCCGTAACAAGGATATCAAATTTGCACAAGCTGAAACCGAGTACAGACCGCGACAGCGAAGCAAAATAAAAAGGATAACGAGCACAATAAGAGAAATGAAATCGTAGCCCCCGAAACAGTTGCTAATTGGACAAAGCAACCGAAAAATGGAAGCCCAGCAACAAGAGAGGATATACGCGCCAAGGATTCCCGACCGCCGTGTGTGACCCAAAAGCCAAATATGCTCGCTTTTCTTTTTCCCCACTCCCCACCCCCCTAACGCTATTCAAATGCAACCGAGCCAACAGAAAAAGGGACACAAGAAGGAAACGTATCCGAAATGAAATTAAAGAGATTGGCTTAGTTAGGTCTAATTTCTCGGGCAGACAAAGTGCTTAAAAAATAATTACACGCCGGCAATCAGCAAGTTGCGCTGGCACAGGAAACAGGAAACGACGGACACGCGACATCATCCGTCCGTCCACCCGTCCATCTCAGTAACCATCCGGCGGTACTGGCCCACCGAAATGGGTGCTGCAGGATGGTGGGGCAACTTGTTAGCAATTGACCGCTTGCTGGCACGTCAAATTCAATTTAGTTGCTGGAGACCCGAAAACGCCATGCCGCAAATTCGCCAACTTACAAGTAATTAGGCAGCTCAACTGCAGCTGGCCACGCCCCCGCCCACAAGGCGTCCAAAGGCCATTCGCACACACACACACACACACCACACAACGGCAAACACAAAAACACACTCAGATGTAGCCAGGACACTCAGGACACGCGTCGTCAGCTGCTTTGCGTGGACATCGGCATCGTTTGCTTGATTGTCATCGCCGCAGTGGCGTGTTGGTGCAGCTATAGATATACACAGAGAAAAAATAAAAAGTACTAGCACTTATATACATTTCCATCTCGGCCAGAAATGGTAGCACTTTTACTTTTCCATTTAAACTATAATTTAATGGAGGCTTTCATTAACAGCTTCCAAAATTAAACAAACTAGTTCCAAAAACAGAGTTTTTTTTATTTTATTAATATTTTTCATGTAAGTAAACGTTTTTACGAATCCGACATTGATTTGACAAGTCTAAAAATAGCTTTTAGCGACAATAATGTCATTTATCTTCCGTCTGTGTAAGCCAACCATTTTTAGCACATTTCAAAGTCCACTATAGTTTAGCCCTCTTAAATGAAGAAATGAATTCAAGCATGATTTTCCCCCAGTGTTCTTATATTTTTGTTGGCTGCTGCAGTTTCAGTTGTCGTTGGCTAATTGCACATTGTTCGGAGATGGTAGCTGGCAGCTAGAAACTGGTAGCTTTCTTTGCCGCTCACTCCATCGCCTTTTTACGTGTTTGACATGCACTTCAGCCTGGGTAATTACCAATTTGCGGCGCCAATTTGGCTACCCATATCCGCCAGCCAGCAAAATTTAATTAGTTTGCCATCCAAATGCTCTGTCACAGTATCTTTCGGGCAGTAGTCCACGCAAATGACACTTTTGCAACAAGGACTCGACGAAAAAAAAAGATACAACACTCAAAAAAGAGAAGAAGGAGAAAAGGCTTTCGATGGTTGGCCGCAGGCGTCGCGCAATTATGAGCAATCGCAGCCATCCCTTTGACCCTTTGTAATCTCTTTAATGGCAGGACATTGACGATGGCCACAGGAAGAGAAACGGCGACAGCAACAGCAACAGCAGCAGCAACGGCTGAAATAAAAGCGTTTCGGGACCAGTTTAATTTACTTCAAGTGGCCGTCAATTAATTTAATTTAAGCCTCTCTCGTACAAAGCATGATTACACTTTGACACTTTGACAACGCAGAGCCGGTTACCCGGGGACCAAATCAGATATGGCAACATCAGCGAAACCGGCCCAAAGGGCTAGCTCGATAAGCGGTCCAAAGGTTTCCAGGGCAATCGATGTCGCCGTTAAGCCATTGCCCAGCTCAAGCCAAACCTTAATTAAAGCAGTTTCTAGGTGACTCGATGCACTTGCCCTCCGAATATGCACATTTATTCGACAGTGGCACATACTGACAAGGACATAAGGCAGCACTTTTTCGCACAAGAAGCTGTGCACTGAAAATTTAATTAAACTGATTGAGCAAGTGCCATTTTTTAAACATTTTTATGTCTTTACATCATTAACAATATTTTCTTTTGCTTTAGTATTCTAAACCAATCAATCAGTTCTGCCTTGAATGTAGCATTCTAATATCAATATATTGATCTCTTAATCCAGGAAAAAATCCATCAGCTTATTAAGTCTAAAAGATACTCATATCTCAACTGTGCTACAATAAAATAGTTTTTAAAAACATTTAAATATTACTTAACTGAGGCTTAGTTTTGTTGAAATCTCAATTATAAATGAATCAATCAAAATAAAAATTAAAACTTATATCATCCATTTCCTTTTACAATTTAGACAGCTTAGTTTTCCCTCTGTGTGCATGAGCACAGGAGCAGATGCTGCAGCTGTATTCGATTTCAAGGACACTCGATGGGGCAGCTGCCTCATCCGCATCCGCTTCTGCTGGTAGCCGGAACAGCTCTTCACAGTTTATAGCTCCAAGTGGCCTTGGGCAAGTGCAAGTGGAAATTCTTGAGCGCACTCGGCTCTTCAACTGATTACGGTTTGTTTTCCATGCAAGCAACACTCTGGCACACTGAGGGCTGGGCCAGGGGCAAAGATAACGGCCAGGATATACTATACTATATATGTGAGTACATGTGTACTACGAACATGTACGTGAGGGGATAATGCGCTAAAATGATTAAGTTGACACACTGGCAGACAATCGAACTGGCTTTTTAATTGGCCAGAACGGAAATCGCACGGACGTTTAATGAAAATTTGATTAAACGTCTAATTGATTGGCGGTCTAGGGTGCAGGCATTGATTTTTGTCCATCCAGGGGGATGG